ATTGTCCCTGTCCTCTCTTTCTACATTAAGCCTGGTACTCTGAGCAAGGCTGGGCCCACACCCGTTAAATAAGCATAGACCCTTGTTTAATGGTCATTACTGCTGTGCTCAGTCTGATCGTTAATGCTGAATAGATGTGTCCCATTCTGTGTAGGGGCCAAGCATGGAAGATGTAAAGAATTACACATAATGAGTACCTTCTCTACATGGCTAATATGAGCCCTACTTACAAGTGTGATCCTCGTCCCTGTATGATCAGACCACAATTGGCACATAGCCCTGTGCTATCACCAGCTAATTATGGACATATTGGTTCCATACTCATAATAGTCTTAATGAGTTATGCGGAATAAGGAAAGTCTATTGAAATGTGTGTGAGGGAAAGAACACTTTTTGGAGATGATAGTCATGGCAGTAATCATGAAAGCTACCTGAGAGGCCGGTTAACTCAGCATGACAGAAAGGATGCATTGTTGTTTCGTGGCTGGCTTCAGGAGTAGGTCACCTGACTCTTCTTATCCTCCTGCTTCTCAAAAAGTATCAGCACATCCTGGAAATTGTGCACCAAAATAACAAATTATGTAATAACTCAACATTTTCACTTCAGTATGTAACAACACCCATTTTTTGTAACGGTGTGCTGCATTTGACCCAATATGTAATTGTTTTTCCCACATTTTGTAATAAATTATTAAATATTTTGATGGCTAATACAAAATGTGGGAGTTTTTTATGAACTGCACTTTGAGCTGAAGCTTCTTAATGGTATTTTTGGGGAGCCCTGTCGAGAGACCACTGCATTAGTCAACCCTGCGAGAAATAAAAGTGTGAATGAGGTCGGTATTTGACATGAAGTCCTCGAGTTTGGCTGTATTTGTAAGATGATAAGAAGCTTATCTCCTTACTGCTTTAATGTGGTTCAGAGTCAACTATAACCAAGGGGGGCACCACAGGTCATTGGAGTCTAATTGAATATTTGTGAAATTTGATTTAGGTTAAATGTTAAAAAATATAACACGTACAGATGAAGAGTGCAGCTACATAATTCACCTTATTGTTACATTTTTATCATAAAAAAGTGCAGCTCCCACATTTTGTCACAACCACAATATGTAATCATTTATTTAATAATCATATTTATCATTCATGCTGTCTATTATAACATGTGGCAGGTTGCGACAGAATTACATAATGAAGAGAAAACATTTTGTCATGTTATATAATACGTATAAATGCAAAACAACTTTATAAATATGCAGTATATAAGAAAACCAATACAACTGACACACTGACTTTACGACTGAGAACCGGGCTGCAACCAATTTGTCATGCGATAGAGAAAAACCTGAAGGACAGAGCTCATGCAGGAAGCTTTGGACTGCCTCCATGCCTCTCCATACTATGAACACAGCAGGGTTGGGGCGGGCATGCAGGCAGGATGCCCGCCTGCTATAAGCTTGGAGCAGCTCTGAATATCAGTAGTGACAAAGACCTCTGTGCCTTATGGCTGCAACAGATGTCTCTCTCTGCTGTGCTTGATCAAGATCACAGACCATATAATCAGCAAGACTGAAGGCCAGTGCACTTTTGGAGTGAAGTGTTAAGAAAGACATAGCTGTTTATTTCTCTTGTGCCTGCATGTACCACTGTATAATGAGAAGTGCCGCCTCCGATGAAGTTGCTGGACTTGAGAAGGTGACATGCCGCCAAACAAAACAATTGGATAATGAGCTTAAAAGAAAGGAGGCACAGAAACGGTGGGCCAAGAATAGTGACATTTGGAAGAGCAGGAAATCTCAGTCTTCATTTAGACGGTAAACAAAACAGATTGGTCCGTCTCTCACCATATGTTTAATCTTTTTTTCTGTAAGCATCTGCTACATATTCATACATGACACGCATGTAACGCAGTAAGCTGTACACAAGCGAGATGAATTACATTTTTTAGGTGTCTGCATAGGTGTTAGCGTGGGGGTCAGTGAAAATGCACGTCTGTCTATGTGGATGAGGACAGACATGCAGTGACAATGACCTCCCAGACTAGTCTATCTAGTGGGAATAAACTATATTTAAATGTTTGAATGTTCAGATTTTCTCTCTCTCCTGCCTGTTTTATCTGTGTGTGCATATGGATTATACTCCTCTCTTGTGACTTTCACCTTATGTTCTCTCTCTTGCACATTTGTGACAGAATCACACCCTGGACTAATTCCAGATTTGTATCGAGACGCAGTTATACAGTTGAATCATCTCTCTCTCGCTCACTGTGAATATATGTGTGACTCACCCTCTTGTTACTATTATTATGTGTCTTATATATTGAAGACCTAACCTTAACTCTTATCCCTTGTTTCCTCTGTAAAGTCATCGTCTATGTGCTGATCCAGCAGTGGCGATGCAGGCGTCTTTGTCTGTTTGTAGAGATGGTGTCATAGTAGTTCAATGCTTCCACTGTCTCTAGTGGGAAACAATCCTCCGCCTAGCAATGTCACATTATCTATCACTTAGAGGGGTTAAGTCCTGGGACTCGGCGAGAGAACAGACTGTATTGTTGGTGACCTTCAGGTGTGCGTTTTCTTTAAACGATATGGTTGAATGGTTAGGACTAAGAGGTCAGATTTATAGCAAAAAAAAATATGTTTTATAACAAGCCAGTTTCTTAAAATGAATGGTTTGTTTAAAGCAGCCCATGAATTGAATATGTCCTTTTCCCCTTGACAGTCTGTACATGGGTAGTGTAGAAACACATTTCAGTACTTTGTATTTTGATTATTCATACTGACTCACGTCTGTCTCAAGAAAAGAAGAATGGAAAAAGGGGGTGATTGGTTGGTTGAAGGCTGAAATTGGCAATTTTCATGCGACTAAATCTCTCAGTAGGGGTTGTGTCACACAGAGGATTGATGGCTTATTTCTTCTAAGTAAATCAGTGTTGTGGCCTCTATCTCTGTTCTGCTCCCACAGCTGTATGTGCACTCTCGTGGGTGGGTTTTTTGTATCAGGAATAAGCAGACATTGGGTTGATCCCTGCTATTTCCTGGGGAGTATGCCTCTTAAAACTGGCTTGTGCTCTGCGATAAAGTGATTGGAGTGATGATCTGAAAGTGAACGTTTAATACGCTCAAAAATGTTTTGGTATACAGGGGAATTACACTGCAGTGTTTCCCCAATGGCAAATGGCAACTCTTAGTTAAATAAAATTAGAAGTAAGTTAATGAAGCTAAATTTCAAACGATGCATGAATATTCATCCAAACATATTAACAATGGTGGAAATAGTTGTTCTAATTATTTGTTTTAACTGTTTATGTCTACCATTTTTCAGCCACATCCACAGTGCCAGTGCTACCTTAGTATTGTTATAGTAAAGAGAAGGCACCAATTTTTTTAAGCCTGTAACTGAATTTCTGTCATTTGGTGTTTAGTTTGACTTCTGTGTTTCCTCTTAATACTTTGTAACAGATATCCGACTCACCACAGCTGTACTGGAACTGTATTTGTTATGTGGCGTTGCTGCTAACACAAACTAAACATTTCTTGCTGCTTTTTAACATTAAAAGCTCTCCACCTGGGAACTCCCGGGGAGCTTTTATTGAGAAGCAGCTACAGGAAATGCATTTTATTTGTCATGAAGATTAGCGATGCTTTGTTAGCTGCACTTTTGTTCAATAAAAAGGGGTTTACGCAACAAAGATGTGGACATAGTCTGCAGTATTTTGTCGGTGGTTTGGGTTTGAGCATTGCAAAAAAAAATATATATATTTATATATTCATTTCACCATCAATATCAAGCATCTTGGACACAAAGATTTTCTTTGGGGTGAATGAAGGTCTTATCTTATGTGCATACGTGCAGCTCAGGATTTAATCAGGGTTGCTCATGGCACCACACACGTTTCCCAGTCACATGAAAATATGTCATTATATTAAGGAAATAGGACTTAGCAGTTGTCTCTCCTGCATGCTTCCTCTCACTGCAGTCAAGCTTCACATATCTACAACCGAGTTAGAGGAGAGGAGAGCAGTGGAGGGTATAAAGCAGTAGTTTGGGGGGATGGGTGAGTAGAGCATGTCCACAATGTGAAGGGAAATTTCAATGCACCCTCAGGGAACATTGGAAGAGTAGGTGTGAAAAGTAGGCTGGTCTAAGTGCCGTAGAGTGACTAAACTTCTTCAGACAGGTCACAGAAGAAGCTGAGAGCTAGTTTTGTGTCTGTCTGTGTGAGTATGCAGCTGGCTGTGAATGTAATTGACCATGGTAATGGACATTACAAGGGACGAGTAAGGATAGCAAGGCGAGGATCCTGCCATCTGTATAGTATTATGGTGAGTGAGGCCTTTTTGCAAAAAGGTGTTGGTGCTGGAGTGCAGATACTCTTTATTCTGCCATGGTAGTGATGTGGGTGAGTAAAAAGGTATTTCTAAGGTATGCAAATGAGTGTGTTTGTGTGCGCAATCATTTTTCTGTGTACAAAGGACCCTGTGCGTGTCTTATGAGTGTCATGATGCAGTGCTTCTAGCTAGAGAGCTATGCAAGTAATAGCCTTGCTCAGGCTAGATAATTAGTCAAATGCTGATTTCTACTCGACTCCCATAGGAACAGTGCCACCAAGGCTAAATATCACCCACTGAAGTGGTGCTTATCTCTCTGTGTGGGCTGGAAAAATGGCAGTACTATATAGCCCGTGTGTGTGGTGTGTATACCTAAGTTTGTGTATGGGAATGTACATGGTGTCTATTTTTTAAGGTACTTTATGAGCAAATATTTCTATCTGGAATTAGCTTGTTTGCAATGCCTTAAGCCTCTATTTTGTGTCATCATTAACCTACATGCCACGATGAAGCACAACACTGTTAGAGCAAGCTGTCAAACTGTCAACCTGCCTCCCTCATATTGACATCACATTTGTCATATCTGTCAATGGAAGTACATAAAGCTGTGCCTGATGAGAATATATTCCTGACCCTAAGTCCCTTATCTCTTTTTTTTTTTTTTTGCAGGAGCTCCAGTTTGAGCGGCTAACCAGGGAGCTGGAAGTGGAGAGGCAGATTGTAGCCAGTCAGCTGGAAAGATGCAGACTCGGGGCAGAGTCGCCAGGCGCTGGTAGCAGCAGGTAATGAGAAGATGCTCACACAAACACACACGTAGAGCCACAATCTCAACACATGGCTTTTTCATCCTTCACAGCAGGGCCGTATTCCATAGGGTAACCTTATGGCATAGTGATGGAGAAACCAAGTGTGCTCAAACCTGATTGGACTGTGAATCTAAACATTTCCCACTCCTGTCCTATTATTGTGAAATGGAAAGAATTGCTTCAGTGTTATCTAAGCTAATCACAATCACATCAGTTAGCAATTTAAATGTGCAGGATTTTGTCCGGGCTAATTGACTGAAGCCACATTTAAATTAAGCTGAAATGAAAATATATGCAGCTGACTTTGTAGGCAAAATATTAAGCCTATGTTTATCAGTGACAGCATGTGTATGCGCTTGTGAACGTGCATGGTAGTGGAGTGTTGTTTGCTCAGTGTGGAAGGAGTGTGGAGCTTCTGAATTTGTTCTGGGAACTCATTCCCACTTCATCAGCTACGACACAAGGCTGCCTGATCATCACACCTCAGTGACCACACATTCTGTCCTGTCTGCTGTGGCTCAGACATGTCAGGTTCATTTGTACAGCTCAATACCGCGTACAGTATCCCGATGGGCTTCACAGACCAGCTATGAAGAAGGGTTGACACGTCTTATATCGTCACCTGGCCTGATGGTTTACCCCATTGCTATTTGTCGAAGATGTGGAGATGCAGTGGTGGACAGGCATTGGCCAATAACAGCTGTAAAAATCAGTACTGGTATTTGTCCAATAAATGAATACTGCACAATAATAGTATCATGGTTGTAAAGAAAATAAACATTTTGAGACATAATATTAAAATGTAGGTCTGCATCTTTAAATTAGTCTTACTAAGGCAGATTAAGTATGGTTCGAAATATTTAGTGTGTGTTTTGTAACATTCATTCATCACTGTTTTCAGTTGTAGTTGCACTTATTAAGCAAGTAATATGTGGACCATCTTTTTATGTCTGGTTAAAAATGTGATTCCTTGTAGTGGCAAGGGAAATCACAATAGAGGTTAATAGTCTGTGACATTGAAGGGATTGCTTAATGGTCAGATCTTTCAGGCGCTATTAACATGATGGTTCTTTGTTGCTTTTGCTTATTTTCTTCAGTCAAAGCCGTTTTGATGGCACAGCATAGTGTGGGTATTTTACTAATGATTAAACAACCTATTACACCTAGTACACTCATGTGTAACTGTTTTTAGTCATATCTGTCTAATTGGAAAGTTCATGATTACACATAAGGATGTTTATATAGGATATAATGGTGAAACTTCAAATTAAACACTAAATCCCCAGCAGTTAGGTAATTTACACCAACTTCCCCTCACTCTCAATGATTATTGAAGCAAGTACTCTTTCATATGGGAGGAACAGTACTGTAAAAGATGTCTGTCGATTACTTTGGTTGCACACTGGAGGCTTGATGATCATTCAGACTACAGAAAGCATCCTTAGGCCAGGTTTGAGCTGCATTTGTTCTCAAATGGATCGCGATACAATTGGGATATATTTGGATACATGACACTTGGTCGGAACAGAGGCTGTAATGGCGCTCTGTGATCTCTTCTGGTTTCGTGATAATAAGCCCTATGTCCTTACACGAGGCATTCTTGCACTCCAGCCTTCATACCTGAAAAACGCGCCCACCTACTACCAGCAGATTGCAGTACTCAGGAATCGGAGTGTCCATTTCCCCTTTCTCCCTTTTTAGAGAGGTGCAGGAGAGAAAGAGCAGCTTCAAGTGCTGCCAAAAAGGTCTGGACAGCAGCTCTCTGAAAATATTCACCAGGCTATTTACTTTCATTTCCTCTTTAAGAAGTAGTGTATTTTAGACCTCAGTTTTACTGTGTCCAACCACGCCAGCGATCTCATCTGGAGATATAAGCAACACACTTGCTTTCCTGTGGTTGTCCTGTAGTCACTCACTCGCCCATAACAAACATTTAACACACTGAGTGGCAGTTCAAGATTCATTTTAGAATAAAAGCTGCTAGTAGACCAAGCAATCTTTCTTTACTCAATCTAATGACTGCCTCTAATATTAAAGGCTTTTATTGTGTGCCAGTCACATTGAAAATCAGCACCCAAATCTGTTTTGTGCAGCGTTTAGCTCATTGTCTTAATTCACTGGTCCATCGGTGGCCGCTGAGAGGCTTGGCAACACCAGTCTGTTGATATTGAGTGGATGACCGCTATTGAGTCTAATCCTTTATTTATTTATTATAAACTTATTCATGCATAATAGAGCTTACAAAGTGGACAGCACAGAGCTTAAAGTAGGTCTATATTTTTTTTTTTTTTTTTTAAGTGGCAGGGACCTTTGTATATATCTATATTAACAAAAAACTGGCCTTTATTTTTTATTTCCCTGCTTTAAATGCATTTTTGAACTGGTGAGAAAGAGCAGACTTAAATCATATTAAATGTGGCTGTTGTGACAGGTGGTGGTGTTTTAAAGAGGGGGAAAAAATGTCTCCTCTATTTTTAGAGGTCTTTAGGTTCCCCTGGTTTTTTTTGTAAAATACCTACTATTCAGCTGAAATCACTTTTTTAAAGGACCAGGATCTAAATTTAGTTCCTAGCCCACAAAAAGTCCCTGCTTCAGGGTTAGTACTGTATTTCTATTAGCCTAGGAGTTATATGTGAGTAGAATTTGTTGTTAGGAGCTCAATACAGCTGCACAGCTTTTATTGACGCAGTAAACAAGTACTAGTTGCCACTAGTATCAGTATCCGGATTAAGGATGAAAATGTCTTGCTATTTTTGTGGACGTTATAATGAATCAATTGCAGTGAATATAGTAAATCGCCATTCAACACTCAGCACATTGTTGGCACTCAGTAGACCGGGGGGTTTTAGGATCCCTTTCCAACCCTGCATGTCTGTTCTGTGACTACAAAGAAACATCACTGTGTCTCTGTGTTGTTATTTTCTTTGTGTGTGAACATTGCATCTCACTAAAAGTAGTTTTTCTTTTTTTTTAAATCTCTTATTGGCCTGATCTTCACAGTTCTTCAGATACAAAAGGAACACAAACAGTAATGTGCAAATTGATTAGCAGTTGCTGATTTGATTCCTGGCTGTTAATTTCCTGACTATTTAGTCAAAAAGGGACACGGTTCCCCGTTAAAAGAAGCCTTTGATTTTGAACATCTGACTGTGTTGTTAGTGGTTAGACTGTGACAAGAGCACGCTGTCTTTCACTGTGCCCTTGTGTTCAAGACTCCCTAAATAACCTACATGTTTTTAGTTGTATCGAAAAAATCTTTTTTCTTTTTCAGTTAAATTTTGAGTTTGGATTTAATTATTTTGGATACATACCCAAACAGATACAGCTGAGTAATTTCCTTTGACCTTGCTTTACTGTTGCCACAGAGATACTAGTATTTTTAGTGTCACACAGCCACAAACATAGGTACGGGTTGAATAATGGGTAAATAATCAGGCATCTCTATCAGAAATCTGCCTTTGTTATCCAGATTTTTTTCTAATCCAATTTTAATAATGAGCCATGTTTCACACGTACATGATTTTTCAGAAATCAGGTCTGACTGCCGAAAGACATAATCACAAAGACACAAGTACTAAAGCCACTTTAACCACTCTGGCACCGGTAGCCATCCACCCCCTCTTAGTGACTCTAAAGAAAACATGTAACACCCTTTTCACACCTTTTTTTTAAAGCCAGAGAAAGACAAATAAAATGACTATCGCTGGACATTTGTATGTGAATGGAGATTAGCTTTAACCATTGAGGGCAAACTGCTCGGCTCAATAGCTCAGTGGGACGACAGCGGAGGTGACAGCTCACTTAGGGGTTCTGATGGGAGTCATTACATTTCATGACACCTCCAGAGTTGTCCACCCCCTTTTATTTCTAAAAGCATACAGGGGGTGGTCATCAAACTTGACCTCTGGCAAAAATCCTCAAAGATGTGACCACCGCCCTAGCTAAAGGGGTTGATGGGAAATAAAGTGTCCTGTCAGGGTTAGGCCTGCTGTTTATCAGCATCGGCAGTTTTACTATCATTTTACACCGCTTTCACCCAGCCAGCCGGTGGGCATGCAACACGCATGGTGCATCATCATTATGATAGCCATTCTTCTACTTCATCTGCCATGGTTCAGTGGAGCACAACTCGCCCAACTTCCTCTTTTTAATTGCCTGCATGCTCATTAAAATTCTGAGAGCCATGCTTCTTAAAGCTCATTGAGTGTCACCTTAGATGGAAAAATAGCAGCATTTCTAACATCAGGTTCTTGATAGTAATGGCCGGCAAATAGAGGATGTTATGAAGAAAAGGGTGGGAACGCTGCTCCGATGTCTTCTGCTTGGCCCTGGTCTGTCATAATAACCGGTCTTGGAAACGTGGCTCTGAGAAAGTGGACAGTTTTCCCTTCCCTTTGGTCAGGAAGTCTTTTCATAGGTACGCGCATAAGCTGAAATTATTAGGTGGCTATTAAGATGGTTCACATGGCTGTTCCGCATTTTCTTCTATGCTGAAGCCCTGAATCTAAGTGATTATTTGAGTGCAGTGCTTTTACTGTAGAATTACTATAATCTTCCCGTAACAAAAAAAAAAAAATACTCTTTTTGTGATTAAACTTGTGGTTAAGCTTTTAAGTTCCAGTTTAGGTTTCTCTTTTCTGAAAAGGTTAGAATTTAGTTTGCATTTTTATTCTAGGGTAGGATTTCAGAAGTTAAAAATCTGTTTTGGTTCATGTTCCCATGATCATGATCAACTAGTATTGCTTGATCATGAGCTGAGCAAATATAAATTTAATATCAGACGCAGGAGTTATGAGGCCACAGACATTTTCCAAATGAGATATAAAGGACAATTAAAGAGTTACTGAGTGCTCTGATGCTTCTCAAATTCAAAATCTGAAGCCAGAGTTTGTACTGCTACTGTAGAAACATGGCGGACTTTGTAGAAGAGGACCCACTCTCTCTGTAGAGAGAAAAGGTAACGAAAACACAATCATTCTTGATCTCTCAGGTGATTATGCACAAATGAAGACATACCTATGAATATTATATTATATTTCTGCCAATAGATGCTCCTAAATTTTACACACTGGACCTTTTAGGTATAATCCTTTATTCACTGATCCAGGACAGTTCACCATCAATCACCACACACTGTCACAAGAGGCTTTCTGTTTTTGCTGCTTGGTATCCTCAGTGGTTCTGGCTGAGTAATAGTCACAAACTGCGGTCGCTCTCTGGCTGGACCATTATTCTCCCACATTATTCTCTGGAGACTGAGCATCTCTGTGAGATTCTCTCTGTGCCGGAATATACACTGGCATGCATGTCAGGATTATGTTAGGATGTCAGGATGCTGTGAGCTTGTACACTGAGTGTGTGAGCGAATGAACTGTATGATCACTTCTGATTTACTTTAGGAGCTTGTCTCGCTTGTCCGTGCTTAGTTTCAGCTCACGTGAGGATGTATTCATCCCCTGGCCTTTCGTACTTTTAGGCCTGGCATGTTTATGAAAGCTGCAGGTGAAAAAACAGCTTCTAGTCCACCATTTATAGTTTTTTGATGGGTATCAAGCAAAACACTACCTGTCACCAAAGGCACCTTTAGGTCTTGATAAACACAGATGACAGGAGTGGACTTCTGAGCTGTAAACATTAAATCTGCACTTAGGCGGTATACTCTTTCTGAACCCCTATCTGTTTTATTTCAAACGCAGTGATTACTATCTGTGACCCTGTTGTGAAAGGCCCAAGGAAAGAGTACATGAGGCCCCCCAGCTCTTCCAGATGATTGCACTCATGTCTTTCACTGTGGTGTTTGTGGTTTGTGGTGCATGTATTCACTTTTTTATCTCCTGTTTTCCCTCCTACAGCTCGTCTGAGAAGTCCCTGCCTTGGAGGACTGCAGGTATGTTAACTCAAACACTTAAATGATTGGATATCTCTCCCTCTTCCTATTATTATGCATTCAAAGTATTGAGCCAAACACACACACACACACACACCCCCGCCCCACCTCACCTCACCCTCTATCTAGACCTGAAATAACCTGAGAATTACACTTTCTGCAGTATTTGTCAACAATGAATATGGAACAGCAACTTAATGCTCCATAGAGTTTTACTGTAACATAATGGGTCACAAGGCCACCTACTTTCTCTGGGACACAAAATGCAGAGACCCATTTCTCTTCAAAGCAACGTGTAGCTCTGTATCTTGTGTATGAAGCTAGCGTACACTCACAAAGTATTCATTAATGGTCCTGTTTGACCCTGATTAAGGCCTATACCCATAAATACTTGCTTACAGTTTCTTTGGTTTAACCTAATGATGTCCACTCTAACTGACAGTGGACTAGACATTTGTGTTCAGTGTCACAGTGATAAAATAATGACATATGTAACATAAATAAGGCTCAACTGGTCAGCCAAGTGCATTTGATTGTTATATATTATTATATATTATTATATATTGACATAAGGGGCTGTGTGTGTGTGTGTGTGTGTGTCTGCGTGTAAGTGTGTGTAAGTGTGTGTGTGTGTGTGCATGTAAGTGTGTGTGTGTGTGTGTGCGTGTAAGTGTGTGTGTGTGTAAGTGTGTGGTGTGTGTGTGTGCATATATAGTGCAGCGCAGATATGTTTTACATTTCCGCAATAAGGATTGCCAACATAAAGCCCTTATTAACCAAGCCTACAGTATTGTACAGCCTAGGGCGTATTCTTGTTTTAATATTTATCTAAGCTATTTCTGCCCACTCACACACAACACCGTCAGTGTTACGGGGAGCCGCAGAGTCCCTCTCAGACCCCTTTTGTCTGTTTGTTTAGTCTACATCCCTGAAGAGAGAACAGATAATGAATTGAATATACTAATGTATTTCATGGCTTATTAATTGCATAGTGGAACTTCTGCAATGGCCATTAATCTTTTATTGTCGATCCTGTCAGAAGACCCTATGGGGGGGTTATAGTTGTACATATGCACTGGGAATATTAATACTTCACAGTTTTCACGGTTTTCTCATTTACTGCCCACCCCCTTATTTCCTTGCTGACTGCATTTCATTTGGGTTGGAACGGATCCGGGGACTAATCACAATCACTGTTTTGCTTCGTATTGATTTCTCATTGTAATGTAGATGATAAATGATAGTCAGATGTGGTAATGTACTTTTTTCCAATCTAAATGAATTAAATTCTAACTGTGTGGCGCAGAGCATAATGGGCCACGTTTGTCTGTGAGGTTTATTGGCCTTGTGAGCCGCCGTATGTCTCCACTGTCTGAGAGTTTGGGATAGGAGTGTTACTGTGGAAACAAGCCTTTTAGCCCCAGGAAATGTCAATGCAGTCATACCTCATGTCCACTGAGAGTAGAAGACAAACACCCCAGAATGAAAAAAAAACTCTGTTTCTTTCCACTTTCTCTTATGGTTTAGCTGCTTATTCTTTTCCAGATATGACAGTTTAACACATCAACATCAGGTTAAAAAGCATACTCTCAACATGACTCCTCAACACATTTTAAAGAGCAGTTTATAGATTTAATTTCTTAATTATTTTGACTTGAGGTTTCATGGAAATTATACTTCCTAAAGTAAATATGTGATTTTAGATGGGTTTTTTTTTACAAGCCACAATAACAGAAATTCTAAGAAAAAGTAGCGAATCACGAAGATTTTGGATGCTGCCTGATACGTGGTTGCAAACTTTACCACACTGTGAAGTGAATCATCACAGGGATAGGTTTTGGTAGCCATCATCAGTCACTCACCAAGACACACTCACAACACAGCTCATTTCTGGCAGATGGCGATTATTTCTCCTTTCTCCACTTTCTTGTTCCCAGCCTCTTGGATGTCTAACAGGCTCCGCATTATAAGACTGTGGTCCTTTTTTTTTTTTAAATGCTTCTGAATATGTATTTGTAGCCTCACCAGTCTCAGAATTAGCATTAGAATCCATATTTATTCATATTTATTATTAATTAACTTGACCCAGCTCAGCCACTCATTGTGTGACGTCACATCCTGTGTCTCAGTTTTAAGGTGGACAGAACAGAGTCCAGATGTTACTATAGTTTATATATAGATATCTGTTTTGAAAATCCGGCACATGAATTAACCAGACAGCAACGTAAAAGTTACTCTTTTAATCCAGTATAACCCCTACAAAATAGCATGTGAAGGGAAATGGGAATACAATTCTTATGAGATAGATGAAAGGTGGTGAGATTGTCTGTGTTGGGGGCTGTTGGACTGTGTAAACTGGGCAGCAGTGTTCCATAGTTTTATCTAATATATTAATGATAAACAAGAAAATGTATTAGGGGAGCACAGGGGGCATTGATGGGGGTTACCAAAGCAAGAGCAAAGTGCAAAATAATATTTTAAACTGATCACAGAAGCAATTTGTGTGAGAACAGACAACTCTCCTCTTGTCTTGGAAAACACAAAATACTCCGTTCACATGGGATCATGTTATGTGTGAAAACAGAAACACTGACAACATTAAGAGGCACATTAGAAGACCTTATTGTTAATGCCAAAAAACCCCTGCCATACATGGATATTTGAAGCCAGTAATGTTTCATCTTCAGTGTTTTTAAGAAAAAGGGCGTCTGTCTCTCTCTCTCTTTCTCTCACTGTCTCCCTCTCTTCCTGTTCCTCTTCTGTTCTGGCTTTTTGGCATCTCATTTATCAAATAGGGTCATGGCTCAGTATAAAAACCCTGTGGTCTGAAACGACACACTGTGTGCCAGACACGGAGTCACTGCCAGAATGGAAGGAGACAAAAGACTTGTTCAGTCGTGTCATTATTTATGTTTAAAGGATATCTAAACGCTTTTTTGATCTTATAGAACCGTCTTATTGTTTTACTGTAAATACTTCAACAAGTCCTTCCTCCTCCTCCTCCTCC